TTAAAAAAAATATAATGCAACTTTAACAATGAAACTCTACTATCAAAGACGCCGGCACGAATAATTCCGACTGTTTTGTTATATAAAGTTCATGATACCGTGCAATTGGAAACCAGGCAAATATGCTGTGTGTGTATGAGTCAGAATGGCAATGGTTTGTATTTGAATTTGAACAGTATGTATTTATTTAATAATAAATAAAGCGATCCAATACAAATAGTTTTCATTATATCAGAGTTGTCGAAAGGAAGTACATCTGTACACCTATTCGAGTACAGCAATCTTCAGCTTAAGTACAAATAGTGAAATTGTGCAATTGTAACTCATTATCAATATTAAGAGACTAAATAACATCCTTTTTGAAGACTTTGTTTCTTGATTTGTCAATGTTAAATTGGTATTAAAGCCACAAACTTGTTTACTGTAACTAGTTAATTATTCCATAAGATAGGATAAAATAGACATGTTAATTCAATGCATTTTTTGTTGTTGCAAACCTTTGAAGGCAAACGTTAGGAAAGAAATTTGTACTTTTACAGCCATTTCCATATCCATCACTACATTATTTATCTTGCATTCCGTGCATTTTATTGTGTCAGGAGATCTGAAATACTATATATCATATTAAAGTACAGGGCGATTCCTTACGGCCTTCACATGGCTGAAACAACACTAATGAGACGATAAAGTAGTATAGCTGGAAAATGCAGGCTACCGTCAACAGCCTCTAGCACCCACCGACATAAGCAAAATTATAAAATTGAAATGAATTGGCACAATTTTTAATTTAGAAGCTTCCGTAGATCTGCTCCTAGTTAAGATATGAGTGTGCTCTAAACGAGAAAACAATGGGCGAAACATAAAGAAATGAAACTTTGAAAGGTGATAAAGGGTTGTCAAGCCTGTATATCACAGGGAAGCTGTCAAAGAAATGATTTGAAAAGCCGACAGGTTATAGTACGGGTTGGTTATCCACTGTTCGTGTAAATAAACTTGAACCAACCACTAAAAAATAAAGTTAAGAAAAAGAAATAAATGTACCTTCCCCCAACGCACTCCCGTTACCAACCCCCAAACCAAATAAGTAAAATAAGTGTCATAACTCCTCAGTACAACAACAAATAAATAAAGCGTCTGTGATTGAATATCGCTGCGACTATTTACGGCTTCCACATGATGATGGGACGATAAAGTCAAAAGAAAATTGAATATGTTGCCGGCGCGGTTTGATTAAGCCTTTTCATTGACGGCAATGTAAAGTGTTTTAAGGTAAAAGAAACTCTAAGAAAACATGTATATAATGTTCCTAATAAAAACAAATTATTATTACTTCTAATTGAAAAGCATGTGTACGTGCTTTTATTTGTGTAGAAGTAATTTATAATAAAAACTACCAGTAAAAAGTAAGATATAAATCAAAACGACTTAAAATCATAAAAGTTGAAAATCAGATGATTGTTCGGTAACTATGTCCTACTATACTACGAAGAGAAATATGTTAATTCTTTTGAACTTTAAGACTGAAATACATTGTAGGGAACATCTTAATGTTAAATGATAATGCACTCTTTTTGTATTGTTTTGTAAATTACGTTTGCTGTTTCTAAATAGTTACTGCCAAGCAAAAATACACAACGTTCAATATGTTTGTAGATAAAAGTTGTATAAATTCTCTTAAATAATAAATATTATTTTCCAAATGCATTATGCAATATGGAGATAACGGTTCCTTTATTAAGGTGGAATTTAATTTATACACAAAGCAAATGTGCATTTAATATTTGAGAGTGAACATTTATTAAAATTGCATAGTTAAATAAGACAAAAACTTGTTTACCTTCTCCTATAAAAAAGTCACATCACCTTAGTCATCGGTTTTCAATTTACAAAGTAAAACATGCACGCATGAATGATAAAAAATTCGATGAATCAATTTTATACGTTGATATAAGGAACTAATTTGAAACAGCTATGGAAATAATTTCAGAGGCATTAGTCATTCCGCCTTCACATCTTTTCTTAGGCATACTTATACTGTTTATATAACATTCCATAAACTAACAAATATGTATCTTTGAAATAAAATCGAGTTCTGTTAACTTTACAAAATAAATATCAAAGAAAAAAAGTTGTCTCTGTGCATCCCGTTTAATAATATTCGGTTAACAAGAGTTTATAATTTTTGAGCAATTGTAATTCAACGATGCACTTACTATACACTCAGGACACTTATTTTTAAAAATCAATGCATATGATAGAAAATGATAGAATGAGCATGTTATTAAGTTCTATTGTATTGTCGTGTAATATTACATGGTTTATTGTTCAGATGATCCGGTTAAGTACTACTTATGTTTATGACTTTCCTTATTATATATATATATGAACCTACATTCGTATGATGTATATATGATATTTAAAGATATGCAATTGTATAACGATACACTTGCAAACAAAGGAGTGGTTGTTTTTATGCCAAAAGCACTTTATCTTTTACAATTAAGATCTTAAAAAAAGAAAGACAATTAGTTATTTACGGTTTAGAACAAATCCCTGTGAAATACGAAATCTAGTTAATGTTTAATTGAAATACTTATCAGATACGTAGATTCAAATAATTCAATGACCCAGAAATGGCGGACAAATAGATTTGTTTATTTAAGAAACGACTAGGCATGACTACAAAATTTGTAAGATATGACTATCGTTTAATCCCTGTTTGTCCGTCTTAGCAAACTGTTTTCTGTCACTAATTGCGTTGTGATGCATTATTTTAAGTATTTGAGAATGTAAACACTTCCTTTTGTTTATCGTGGGAACTACACTTTTCTTGGGACAAAAAACGCTCAAATACGCATTATATGTTAGATATGGCTTATAAAGTATCAAGCATTTTATACAAAAGGGTGCGGCTGCTAAAATACAAACAATACATCACAAAGTGTTTTAAAAGGTTTATTAAAATAAAAATATTGCTATCTTAAATACCTACTTTGATGACACAAACTGTTTAGTATGTCAATTAGATTGTACGTGAGATGCGCTTATACATGTATATATTAACATTTTAGAGTTACTGTAACCTCTTAAGCAACATCTAAATTTCACTCCTCAAGAAAGCATAATCACAAAAGTAATCCAACTGAGATGATATAACGCACAGCTTATGTCAAGTCAAGCATTTTATAAAAGAAAGTGAAAACAAATGAGATATTATCGATACATAACCATACTGTCTGTAGACATATTCTATAATTGACGATTGATATTTTATAGTTAAGATGTTTCTATGCTTATGCACTAAAATGCACTTAATTATCTTCAAATCAAAATGGTTTCTATATACCTTTATACCGTAATTTTTCTTTGAGAAGGGTAAGTGCCCAGGAGAATCAGAGATGCGAAAAATGCAAGGTAAAGGAGGTGGCATGACTATTTAGAAATATTAGAGAGTGATCTAGGGAGGTGACCATAAAATGTGCTTTAAGAACTCTTGAAAACCTGGATACAATTTTATGGAATTTGGGTAGTTTGTTCATTAAATAGTTATGATAATCACATATAGAACATCAAACAATGAATATGTGAAAGGTCCAGAAAACTAACCACTCCCACTCCAATTCTGGTAAGTATACTTATATGTTTACGTTGCATTTTAACTTATGTAAAAGTTTTTATATATAAACTTCTTGGTTTGTTTTCAATTTACACTTGTGCAGACATGTATCAATTGTATTTAGCCTTTATTGCGTAGCATTTCTTTAGATCCGAACCACTTAATGACAAATTGAGGAAGATTTGGTAAAGTATATACATTTTAAGTATTTGAATTGTTTTAATTCCCATATATTGTTTATAAAAGAGGGACAGGAAAATAACTAAGTAAACTTTTTATAAGACCTTTAATATTGATAAAGGACTTAACACTTAAACACCCTTAGACAATGCATAGGTTAACATTTTAACTCTATGAAAACACTTGATACCATCCGGTGTAAATTAAAACTTTTATGGGGAGATTACCGAACATAAAAATAACAGTGTACTTCTACTTAATTGGTTCATTATATATGAATATCAACCAATTGGATTGGTTGACTTGTTCCTATCGACAGGTTGAGTATTCATGTACTTAGCGGATTGATTATTGCCGAAAATTTCCCATCGACGCATAGTAAAAGTAAAAAAGAGAAAAAACAGATCCGAGAAACAACGTCAAAAAAGAGCAAAATTGAAAATGGTGCAGAAAATGTTTGATTGAGCATGTTCATAGACGCAAGTGGTCATTGCAACAACCGTCTACTTGAACTTATAATCATGTGCAGTATTCTTAAATGATTATTTAAGGTTAACAAATTGGTTACGGATGACATAGACTTATAGTCTTCACTTTTTTAAGTAAACAGTTTGCATTTATGCGTAGGAATAGATGTAATAATTACATAATTGAAAAAATCTAATAATTTATGCTACCAAATCAGTGTATGTAAACTAAGCTGCTATATAATGTTTTACTCAAACAAAATAGATACAACCACAAACGGATCAGGCATGAGTAATAAAATAAAAATTGAACTGTTTTTGAACGACGGCACATCTTATTTCTTCACTGAAATTGCAATACCATCTTTAAATCACATTGTAATTGTGAGAAGTATGACCCTAGAAGTGATTTTGCTTTGCATGAACTTTTTCAAAACGCTAGGTAGATTAATCGGAAACTTCATTGTCGTTCAAGTCCATACAAATGCTCTGTATCATATGACTATCTTCAGTTTTTTCTTTTGATAATTTTTTGAGCTTATTCGAAATAAATACATATTAACCCCCTTTTACTAGCGTTCGTGATACGACATTTAAACATTTCAAGTATTCTTACAAAATTAATTATCAGAAGGTTTAGCTGCAAAGAGTAATGTCGTTTACGTCGGTCGCACACTTATGTACAGGTTTTGTTTGCTTGCCATGTTAACGTTTTCTTTACATTAAATATTAAGTTTGTAGAGTTGACAGAACTTGCATGTTTACATTAAGGAGATACTTATATTTCAGAGCTAATGGAATGTCATAAAACGATATGTACATGTATATGTCTTAAAATATGTGAAGTCGGAACACTTAATGCAATGTGAAACTGGTAGTATAATTATAGAATAGCTGTTTCCAAAACACTTCCGTATCACTACGTATAAAATAGATTCATCGAGTTTCTTATTATTCATAAGTGCAGGTCTTTACTACGTGGGATTCTAACCCGTGAATTAGATGATGTGATAGACTTTTTATTAGAGAAGGTAAAATTTATTTTATTTAATATTTAATAAATTATTGAGTTCAAGTTTGCATATTAAATGTTTGCTTTCGACAATTAATGCACATTTGCTGGTTAATGTAACTTAATAATTAGAACTGTTTTCTACATATTACATAAATTAAATGATATTGAAAAATAATAATTTTTAAATTCAAGTTACATAATTTTAATCCACATTCTACGAAAACATTGAATGTTTTATACTTGTGCACAACAAAAGTGTTAGATTAGACAAAGTTAAACTTTTATTGTAAACAGTTATCGTACATAATTCAATCTACATTTTTATGATTACTTGGATTTTAGACTTTCACAAATAATTAAACGCACTTTCAAGTTTCAATCAGATGTACACTTTATTAAAGTATTGTTCTTTACAAGTTTGTATGGGAATATAAATAACCTTGTGAGCTTAATTATCGTAAACAACGTCCAATCACCGTTCATAAACAAGCTGGAATAAATCGTACCAGCAACATTGACAATTTTACAGTTTTAGACGTTTCTTTTTCTGTATTTTGTCGCTAATGTTGTACCGAGTGCATGTCGTAAATAGTGACCCCGTAAAATCAGTCTGAGAGATTTAATATTTCCGATTCTTGAAGATCGGCCAACATTATTGTTGTGCTAGTGGCACTAAAAATTTATTGTCAAATATAAAATTCTGCCGAAGCCGGTTGTAAGTTGACACATTAAATGGTCATGTCATGTAAGTAAATAATAATGTATTCTACAATTTGATAAAATCAATGAGAAAAAAAGGGAAAGTTTTGAGTCATTAATTATTATTCTATATTGGGCCAGAGTATTTTTGCGTAATCTTTGAAATATTTTAATTGTTAAAATAGTATGATGTATGTAAAAAACGAAGTCGTATTTGAACTACTTTTACGACTTTTCGAATTCCTGCTATAGATAAAATAGATTAGAATCGTTTTTCATTTAACACAAAATGATTAATTTCCTAGTTGTAACTCATCATTATACATTATGATAAATTTTTAAAGATTGTTTAAATACTTTAACTAGAATGCTGCTACAGGTCTTACAAATATTGGTGTGGTTTGCGCATATCGAGGATGTAGGTAAGTAAAAACAATTAAATTTAGTCTGTATTGTAGGGGTAAAATATAAAATCAAACTACTATCGTTTCTGTACAAGTCATATTAAATTCGTGTTATTTTTCTTCTTTTCGAATCTCAATTCCAATTCTAATAAGTATATCGTTAAACGGTTTTGACTTTTATATTAAACGGTTGTCACGAAGTTAACAACGTGCCTTTGTATAGTAAACAAAGTAATGACGACTGCTTGGTCGAGGTTTGAAAAGTCAGTAACTTTGTTACATTTCTGCGACTAACAATTTAGGAATCCAAACTAGACATTGTATATCATATATGCAGTAGATTCTGTCAAATATTGGTACTAAGTGCAATCTTGTACGTCTGATGGTTTAAGAGATAATTGTTTGAATTTATGTTAACATTTATTGTGCCAACTTAGTAAACCGAACCAGACACTTAATATTGTTACAAAATGTATTCAAACCGCTTGTCCCTCACTGTTGTATGTTCGAACTACAAGAGGTGTTCAATTTATTACAAAACACAACCATAACACGTTATAAGATCGTATAGCTTATAAAAAACTTGTGCATGTAAGTAGTGTATTGTACATATACCCATCTCATTTGAATTGAAATTTCAATATGGTTAGACAAAAATATATGATTAAGTTGAGGGGATTATTTGAGGACTTTTAAAGCAAAAAAATCCTACATACACAAGTAATTAAAACAGATGGGAGATACTTTTCCTCTGCTTCTGTGCATCTCATTCAATATGGTAAATGTGCTATTCGAAATAACATAGTATTACGCAAAACTGGTAAAAATGGATCTTTAACCAAACCTCGGACAGCAGCTACTGCTGACGTCGTCAGTGAACTCTTTAACTAGGCACTGTCAACAGAGTAATAGCAGTAAATTCTAAAAACAAAACTCAGGAAAAAGTGCCGCTTTCATAGGTTTTGTGAGGCCCAGATTTTGAAACGACGTGCTTGATCATGTCGTCTATATCTCCGTATTAACTGTGGCAAATGGAAAAACGTTGTCACCACAGATTAGACTAAGTTTTGTATGGGCGATAGTTACGATCGACGTCGTGTTTGTTACGTTTGTTGAACTAATGAGACAGACCTGAAAAATCTGGAGTTACTACGGCAAGACATCACTAATTTAAGTATAGGGGTAAAAGTCAATGCAAAATATTACATAGACAAAGTTCTAAAGCCACTTTTCAAAAAGATGTCCCGCGACTTACTATTCCTGGAAGAGACAATGATGTGGTATTTCATCAAGACTTGGCCTTTTGTCATACCGCTCAGGTGACCATTACCTTTCTCAACAAACGCAAAGTGAATTACATAACACCTGCAGAATGGATGCCAAAAATCTCAGATACAGCTCCTGTATTTATCTTTGCGCTTTAAGCAATACTTGCCGCGTTTTAAAAATGGCGTTAAAATTGAAGTTTTTAGCCGCTATGTAAGATTAAATTTTATTGGCCAAATAACCTTTGGAGTCCAGCTCGGCCAAGTGAATCATACGGAAATCTGGAAGCCAAACTTCGATTAAAATTTGGATGTATTTGCAGTTTTAAGTTGATTTTATTGTTTCCTTAATAAATCCTTACGAAATACCCGCTCGCAACGGCGAGCCGGCATAGATTTAATATCTCTCGTATACCAGGGATTTTGGATTTTTACGTGTGAAGAACTATCAAGCTAGCTTACGGAATGACTGTTGTCTTACTCAGGTGCCCACCGCTAGTGCCTGAATATTGCACGAACAGGCACCTGGGATCTTCCTGCACCAGTAGAACAGAACTATCACTACATGACCTCTTCTATGTTGGTACATTGCAATAATGCAAGATTTGAGTTAACATGTGTAGGAATACAAGTACGAGGGTTGCTAGGCAAAACGATAAACCGTTAATTATAGTACTATTATGCAGAAAAAGTTTAATACCTTTTTCGTATTCAGTGCTAATAAAAAACATGAATTGATAAAATATGCTGAACTACATGGAGGGTAAAAGTAATTTTCCTGCATCATTTGGTTAAATCACGTCATATCTGACGTCATAACGCCATATTTGACGTCATAAGACGTGTCAGCATTCCTTTATTAAGCAGTGCATATATCGTAAAATAATGCGTTTCACTGCCATAACTGTTCATTCTATAGGGGACTAATTAAATTGTGTTAGAATATACTGTCATTTAATAATGGATACAATTTAGAAAGTTTTGAAAAATCATAGTAACTTTGATCACATTTGAAACCATATGCGAACTATTTTTATTACTTTGCCCAGAAAATGTTGTTGTTTTTTACTAAAATTTGAAATAGGCTTCTACGATTAAAGAAGAAAGAAAGCTACTTTAAATTCATTACGTACCAAATTATGATAATTTATATCAAAAGTTACATAAAGAAACTATAGTTTACTCAATTTAGTTTGGATTCCGGAAATGTTTGTGGAAAACTGACTAAATTATGAATATTCTAAGAATCAGCAGTCGCCATTATTCGGTTTGAATACACAAAGTCACGTGATTCCCTTCTACGTTGTTATCGTAACTTTCATATTATGAACTGTTAAACACAATTACAAGTAATGTTTATAATTTAATTATATTTTTTATAAATAGAAATGGTTTTTCATGTCATTATGGTGAGTTGAAAATGTCAATAAACACACTTTCTCCCATTTCCTTTGTAAATCAGATATGGGATGTAGACCACACACATACCCACACTGTCCCGATTGGGGCAGCTGTTCAAGCTCATGTGGAGGAGGGAAGCGGGGGCGGACTTGTAAATCGTGTGTTTGGAGAGAAAGAAAATATTTTGAAGAGGACTGTAACCAGCATTGCTACAACGGCGGATGGTACGGTTCTGGGGGATGTAATTGTCCTTCGTGGAGATCTGGAAGTTGTTGTCAAAGTATGAACAAGAGAAATACTTTTTAAATTCTATTTTGAAGATAAGCGTTTACATTTAATACTCATAAAAAGTATGTTTATATAATAATTGCGTCTTATTATAACAAATGTACATAGTTCATTAAAGGAATTGCTGTATTGTCACAAGTGCGAGATGGAAGGCGATGTTCTGAAATGTTCATGTTATTTTGTTGTAAATAATATTTCCGTGGGTTCACCAATTATTTTTCTGTCTATCTTGATCAATAACTTTGCTTGATGTATAATTTGTTAAAATCTGTTTAAACTAGGCTAAGCATAATCTAATAAAACGAATTTAATTAAAGCCAGACTAATATGTATACCTTTTTTGCTTTCGAAACAAAAATGATATCCTTATTTGTTTCATACTTTTGAGAACATTACTGATTTATCCGTGAGAATTATATTTGATAATATCACACAAAGAATTATCAAAATATAATTTCACACTTTTTAATGACGAGACTACTTTTTCAACATTTTCCCAATGTGGTACCTCAATTTTATTTTTGCTGACAATTCTGACATTGTTAGGATTGTTTAGAGAAAAGCAAAGCTGAAATTGATAAATAACTTAAATTTCAAAAGTAATATAAAGAAAAAAACTAGCTTCAATTCATTCAAATTACCAATCACAAAATATCGTCTCTAGTTTTGTTCATTTTTACTATCTGAAAAATACAATTTATTCCTCATGCAGAACTGCTCATGGTGACATTTGGACATATTTAACAAGTATCCTACGAGCACTAACTGCATAATGCAATATGAAAACTTGAAAAGCAATGACAATCATCAGACCAAAAAAACAGTAAACAACCGAGCGTTCGTCAAGACAGCCTTTCAACAATTCCATGTTTTACAAATTCATAGCCGCTTTTTGAATGTTTACACATCTGTCAAAAAATATTTATTGTCTGCTAAAATCCCGAAATAAGTTTTCTATTGTTTCTTATAAAAATATGTATAACAATCCAAATTATATATCTCTTGATCAAACTCAATTATTTTCCTGCCATGAAATACACAACTTTTGAAAATGGCGACCGCTTATATTACACAAAGCATGGTCTAATATAACTTCGCCGTAAATAACGGAAATAAGGTCCGATGGTGTGACTTTTTCTTCTACTAGAATTGTTTGTTTTTATTAAAAAAAATAAGCGATCATTCATATTTTTAAATAAGATAAATAATTTCATCGCCATTTAACGTTGATTGTCGAAGTCATTTTTCATCTCAAGACTTCTTGAATGTATGTGAAATGCGACTAAAAATGAGATTACCAGTAAGGAAAACAGATTTTGATATCAAAGTTTTTATTAAGGAAATTTCATATTAACTTGTTTTAAGCATAAAATAAAAATATTTGTGTGTGTAAGACTACACCACTCGTGAGAATACTGTTTTTAAGGCTCACTCGATACAATAAAATTTCATCTTACACACACACAAACAAATATCCTCTATTTATCCAGGTTGTAGACACATTTATATAGCTAACTGTAAATCTGGAAAGAAGGCTTGTGGAGGATCTCCTGACAATATTAAATGTACGGAATGCGAAGATAATTACTACAGTGGTGGATATGGAAATGGCTGTAAAGGTTCAAATTTCTTTCCTACCGTTAGCCTTTAAAAGTTTGCAACAAAATGAAATTTCATTAAAAGTTCATGTCCAGTTTATCTTGATTTATGGATAAATAAGTTTAAAAAACCAAATGTTGTTTTCTTTTTTACATTAATTTAATAAAATTTGACAAATCAAGAAACAAAGAGGAAGTCATCGAAAAAGTATTTTCAACATTTATTTGATATAACGATTAACGCTTTCCTTCTATGCAAACTGGAAGTATATGAACATGAGTTGAAGATTTCAGTACTTAATTTGAAATCTACATTTATTAAAAAAAAATATATCGATTAAGTGTTAAGACATAGCATATCTTCTATGTAAAGATGTTTTGTGAAGCATTCGCATAAAATACGTTTGGTTGAACCACACATGTTCCGACAACTATGATATAATTTCATGAATGCTGTTGGTATTTCCTTACTTTATTCTTTATTTAAAACACCTTCTAATTCAAGTCAACGACCCGTTGCAATACTGATTCAAATTCGCTATAACGAACTTCTTGTTGGCCACTAAATGTTATTTTGCAAGCTACTAAGTCCATAATTTTAAGTTTGGAAAACACAAACTTACTGATTAGATAAAAGAAACTATATATTCGCGTTCAAAATACATTTGAAATCGTTCGTGTGCAAACAGCGAATTACTTTGTGCTTGCGTTCCTCGTGCACGGTATGGTGGTTATCGTACAAGCGCATTTTTTAATGAAAAACGTTTAAAACATTCTGATTATGAGAGTTATTCGAGCCGGTGTCGCTTACTATCACATGCGTGGTAATATAACTGTTTGGTTTTTGTTTTATTCTTATTTCTTTCAAACAAACGTATGTTAAGTTTGCGAATGCAATCATCATTTTCAAAATCTAATCATCAACCTAATCCTTATTGATAATCATCATTATTTGCATCGTCAATGTCACCATTTGTGTTATATTTTGCCTTATATACTTCAATTACATGCATTTTGGATCTACAATTTTAACTTTCATACAAATAAAGTGCACATGGCATTTCCATTTAAATTGTCAGTCAGTGTGGAGTACTATGCAAACGGCGGAAAATTATGATGGAACTGTTGGGCAAATAAATTATTTAAATTAGAGTGGAGCAAATAAGCTGGCTTTGACATCTGGCACGTGTAACAAATTCAGCACCAATAAAATTGACATTCGATTCCTTTTTCTTTTAAATCTTTAAATGTTTAACAAATACTTCAATTAATTTTCTTTTTTTGGAAATCAAGAATATTTTCTTTCTATAAAAGCTAGGACTTCAATGTTGTTAAAATGGTATTAAGAAAACGATATCAGTGCCTTCAGAGCTTTGATTTACATTTTTAAGCCTAATTATCAGTCCGCTGATAATCAAGATTAATTTTGAAAAATACATAATCCTATGTAATTATATTATCTTACACAATTGCTTTGAGTTTCTTGCAATTTCAAGCACGATATAGTTACCATAGGAGGATTAGGTCTTCATAGTAATTACAGATCTCTATTAAACGGACTGTTTGTTTTTCACATTTGAATTGATGTGGTTTAATAGTTTTTATGGTAACTTCATTCTTCCAGACGTTTAAACGTAAACTCATTAAAATCTTGTTCACAAATTCCATATCTGCTGTTTTAACCAACTGTTAAGATCCTTGTGTATCTGAAGGTTTTTATATCATACCATTGGTTACAAATGAAGGTCAAAAGCGATATTCATTCAACTTTGCCGAGTATTTTGGATTGTTGTTTTTTCAGTTGTAGATAATCACGATTGTTTAGCATGCGCCGTAGTTCTCCACATTATTGAGGATGATAGTAATATTTCACCTCATTGTATTTACCGTTATACATTTTACATCTACCAAATTGAATGTCGAAACAAGTTGCTCCGTGGGTGTAAGTAAACATATACATGTAACTGGGAACCCTTTGTGTCATGGTCGTACTGTAGCAGGAATTGTGGTTGGGGAACAAAAACGAGATCTATATTGTAAAAAGCGGAAATAGACTATTATAATTGTTTAAGAGATTGCGGTCTTGACAGGGACTATGGCAGTAAATACGCACAAAGCACGCAAAATCGCAAAAAACCAATATAACGGTGTTTACTCCTATTGAAATAATTGGTGTAGATGTAATGACGAATTCTATTGAACGTGTTGTGAAAATATTACACAAATAGGTCATTTTTTTTAAACAACCTACTTAACATAAGATCGACGTGGTCGAGAATCATTGCTTTGATTCATAGGACATAATTGGCATTGAATAAATTTAAAAAAACTGAGAAACATTTACAATGAAATTGACAATTAAAAAAAACGTATTTAGAGTTTGATCCCTATTGTACTTTACGTGAAAAAAACGGTGTATATCTAGGGTTATGACAGAAAATACTGTATCATGTTGGGGGGATTATTAACTACATGTGTTGCATTTAATAAATGTCAACTTAACAAATATTAATAGTTCGTTATTACACTAACTTTTCAATCTTGTTTTTACGTGGGGTTGTATCCTTTTGTGAAACATTTTTAAAATCAACAGATAATCTGTCTTCCATCAAATATGGAACATATTCCTGACATTATATAACTTCTATAGGCCTTAATTTATTGTGAAGTGTTATAACTTAGTTTAAACCTTTGAAGATGATTCTCTAATCCAAAGCAAAACTAATTGTCAAGACGATTAACTTAACGTTAGTGTGTTAAGAGGTTTCAATAAAATGCTTCATTGTTTGAAGAGTTTGGGATGGTCATTTAAGTTTAAATTTCATCAAGGGCTTGGACATGTTACATTGACTTGTAAAATATAAAAAGTCAGATACATTTATCACTAGTCACATAACTGAATGTGAATATTTATGTATAGGTTTATTAACGCTTGTTTACTTGCGCACATTAACAATACTTTATTGTATTTGTTAAAAAGAGAAATTGGTTATCTCATACATGCAGCATCTAGTCATGTTTATGAAATAAAGTTTATTATAATACTTTATTAGTTTAAAAACATTATAATATTTTCCAGAGTGTTCCCATATTTATCAGTGTAGAAGGAGAAGATGTACTTCATATTCGAACACGAGGTGCATTGAGTGCTACAATAATAGGATATTCTACAAGACTACCAACGGAGGCCGCCAGTGTGAACGTAAGTTGTTTGACAAACCTTCTTTTTAATGTTTGATTGTAACTTGATAAACTTATAAGGGGGAAATATCTATATGATATTAAAATCAACATGTAGATCCGATTAAAATAATCAAGATTAAGGCTTAAGTTGTTACTAGCTAACCTCAAGCTTAATTGTGGATTTTAAAAACTTAAGTTAAAATTTCGATTATATATAATATATCAAGTTGGGGATAGCTATGAATAGTTTAATTATTCGTTCATTTAATACCTCTGACGTTTAAAAGAATATTAGTCCTTATTAGTAGCCCAGTGTGTGTGTGTGCAACGCTTTTCAATGTCGGTAATTCTTCAGGATAAGAAAAAACGCAGTGAGCAAAATATATGAAATTTTGCATAAACGTTATTGACTAACATCATTTGGAATATAAATCTCGAAACATTATTTCAAGTCCCGTCATGATTAGAAATGGGGACTTGTGAAATATGCATCACTGGTGTAATAAATTATAGTAAATAAAGTCTACATATATACGGATGTTTAACTGCTTTTTTTAACTAACACTAACCAGTCTTCTTTTCACAGTTTTGTGTAATAATGTACTTAGTAACTATGAGTTTACATCTATTTTTTTCAAAATAGGTTAATTTCACTTTTAAGATATGGAGCGTACAATTTAAAATCTCCTGAATTCTGGCTTCAGATTTTATGAATAAACTTTTGTTACACTTGTTAATATAGTCAGAAACGTAATCTTTGAATCTGAGAGATGTCTCAGAAATAATTGGCAAGATTCGGCAAACAATACATAAATACATATAGGCAGAATTAAAACTGGTCAATATAATTTCTTTAAACTTGGCATGTTGATAGAATATGATGACAGATATATTTCAAGCGAAAAAACTTTGGTGTCACCAATTATTTTTTTGACTTATCGTCCCTTGAATCAGAATCATTTACGAAGTTGAGGTCATCCCAAGAGCAGAACGCTTATACATACTTTTACAAAATCTTGTTTGTTATTTCTTGGTTATGTTTCTCTTTTAATAGTGGATAATAGTACATAAAAACATGCAATTCCATGAAATTATTTCTGTTTTTCATTTTGAATGGACTTAAATTCTCTAAAAATATGCCATATTGTAAGAAAAAATGAATGGCACAAGTTCAGAGAAAAGGGGGCAAAAACAGTGCGCTATTTATTCGTACTTGAAATGACACAAACCGCAGTGGACTAATTGAAAATAGGAAAAATAAAAAGGTATTGTTTACCTTTACCGTAAGGTTCTAGTATTAGCCCTTGAATGAAGCAAAAAATGCCCATTCAGGGGCAGATATCTCTAGCAAGAGAATGGCGATCCTCAACTATTTGGCTTAAAATGGTTCTGTTTTTATATTCTAACAACATGCTAGGTTTCAAGAAATTCTGTTGAACATTTTAAATTTTGCCTATTTGTCTGTATGTAAACTCCTATAAATGTCTTGAGCAAAACCACTGACATATTTTGTAACCAGGTATTATTATGGATCTTTTATAACAAGAGCTCGGAAAAAAATTAATTCATATTCAATTGAGTCAAAAATATTGTTGTTGTTGTTGTTTTCTAAGTGTTTTCAAAATACATTTCATTTTTTTATTTTGAGATGCTCTTATGCACTAATGTGGCTGTAAGTGCACAGGAAATAATATTAAGTGTTTACAAATGGTTGAACAACTGGTATTGGTGTTTTTGTGTGCCTCTATTTAACTCAATAACATTTATGATGTAAGAGGTCACTTTGGATGGCAAAATAAAAACATAACCAAGCAGACCTAAACAAATAGTGATGACACTTACGTAAGTTGTAGTTCTTTTCCGTATTTATATATACATGTATTTATAAAATCACTATAAATATATTTTATAAATATATATATAAATACGGAAAAAGAACTACAGATGCAACTTTACTTTTGATATCTACAAAAAATGAAGATTAACATGTTTCGCTTGTAAGGCCCAGTGTTTTAATAGAAATCTTTGTTAATGTATTTTGTACATTTATAATGTGCATACAGTTAAAGATTCTTTCTTTGTCACAAATTTGTCACGCAGTCAAGCAGAGGAAAATATCAAACATAACCAAGTACTTGAATAAAAACTAATATTAACAAATACCAATTATTTAACTTTTCTGTGAAGAATTAAGAGATCAGTTATTAGTAACATACATAATATTTTGACATTTTAAGTGATATACATGTACTCTGTTTTGAGTAAATCCAATTTCCCACAAAAAATCAGTTAAAAATAAGTTATTACAATTAAGAGGATAGTTTGGATTAAACAGGTATGTGCGCTTCGAACAAACACTATTGTTGGCCGGGGAAATGCAGTAACGAACTGACGAGAGGCTGCTCTTGTGCGCCACATTTCAAAAGAATACAACAAAGTGGGGAAACTTCCTGCCAACCAAATAAGCTTCCATCTATTCTGAAATGTGGAACGGTTGTGGTTGGTCCTAATATGGAGAAGAAGCAGGCTAGAAGCAGCACAAATTCCACAGAGTGTCAATATCTTACTGATATGTATGGTAACTTTCAGCCGTCGTATTTCAAATTTGATCTTGGTGCGGAATATACCATCGATATTAGAAGCTATACAAAACCACCTTTTATACACGAATCCCATTTTGGTATAACAGACTTTGCTACAAGTGTCGTCAAATTATCGGTTGATGGTAAGATTCTCTTTCAAATAAAGTACTTTTACCTATGGTGGCTGATTTACGCCATGTCGTATTTTCGCTTCTTCGCCTCAATATGCGAAAATGCGAAAACACGAAGGGACAACAAAGTATCACTTTGTCGTCTCTTCGCATTTTCGCCTTTTCGCATAGTTACATTTTCGCATTGTTACATTTTCGCTTTTTCGCATTGTTACATTTTCGCATTGTTGCATTTTCGCATTGTTACATTTTCGCATTGTTATATTTTCGCATTTTCGCGTTCCGGTTGTACATGCGCAAGGAAACATCGATTCATTATTTAATAGTCCTATATAAGATATGTTGAATTCACGTAGATGTATAATTTAAAAGTATCAACCCGCTCCTTACACATGTAAAATAATTAAATAATATAACGGTAAGGTACGGTGGCACAATTGTGACATGTGTGTATTTTATTTATCTCGGGGCCACGAGATGGCTAAATCGTGGCCACGAGATACTATGACGTGGCCACGAGATAGCTAAGTCGAGGCCACGAGATACTAAGTCGTGGCAACGAGTTTCTAAGTCATGGCAACGAGATAGCTAAGTCGTCGCCACGAGATACTATGTCGTAACCACGAGTTACTAAGTCGTGGCCACGAGATACTATGTCGTGGCCACGCGTTACTAAGTCGTGACCACGAGATAGCTAAGTCGTGGCCACGAGATACTATGTCGTGGCCACAAGTTACTAAGTGGTGGCCACGAGGTACTAAGTAGTGGCCAGGAGATAGCTAAGTCTTGGCCACGATATACTATGTCGTGGACAAGAGTTACTAAGTCGTGGCCACGAGATACTATATCGTAGCCACGAGATAGCTAAGACCTGGCCACGAGATACTATGTCGTGGCCACGAGTTACTAAGTGGTGGCCACGAGGTACTAAGTAGTGGCCAGGAGATAGCTAAGTCGTGGCCACGATATACTATGTCGTGGCCAAGAGTTACTAAGTCGTGGCCACGAGATACTATGTCGTGGCCACGAGTTACTAAGTCGTGGCCACGAGATAGCTAAGTCGTGGCCACGAGATAAATAACCAATCAGATTACACCATTTATATGAATTTCCCTAATTAACTAGACATGTGCTATAGTACAAGGATGTCCCTACTTCACCAGCCTGTAAAAGTGCCATTTATACAACTTATTGACTGGTCAATAATTTTACATTTAACGTCACTGTGACCCTGATTTTTGACACAATGACCTCGAAATTATTAGATGTCATCTACTGATCAGGTGCAATGATCTTTCTGGGTTAGATAAACCATGGCTTATCCCTTCTACATTATTCATCAGACAAGGATTTTACCTTATTTGCTATCTACTGTCCATGGGAAATGTCCCTTCCAAATAAAATAAACCAGGACTTATTCCTTCTCATGTTATCGTAAAAACAATGTTATGAACAAATTGACTAATTCGATCACAAAAATGTCCCAACAAAGAGCTATAGTCACAATTAATGTCTGATGGGCCTTGGAAGGTGACTTTCTTATATGATCCTAAAGACAATTTCAAAGTGAATAACTTCAGTATTTTCAAACACTAATGTTGCATGTAAAAGTAAGTTAATTTTAAAAAAATCATAATATAGTGTTTTATGATTGGTTAATTACCTCGTGGCCACCACTTAGCTATCTCGTTCCCACCACTTAGCTATCTCGTGGCCACGACATAGTATATCGTGGCCACGACTTAGCTATCTCGTGGTCACGACTTAGTAACTCGTGGCCACGACATAGTATCTCGTGGCCACGACTTAGCTATCTCGTGGCCACGACTTAGTAACTCGTGGCCGCCACGACTTAGTAACTCGTGGCTACGACAAAGTGTCTCGTGGCCACGACTTAGCTATCTCGTAGCCACGACTTAGTAACTCGATAGAGGCACCGCACACATCTTAAAATAGATATGACTGAGATTGAGGTGTATTTTAACAGGAAAACATTTTATAATGTCTTTTATTCTAGTTCTAGAGTTTTAAAGACATACTTTATCTGATTACGTAGAGTGCATGTTGGATAAAGTTCATTTAAAATTTACATAATAATAATTTATGTAAAATCATTCTTATTCATTATTAATTATACCATGTTGTCAGGCGTTCCTCAGGTCTTTAAAACAAAGATCTCTTGATGGTTATTCTGTCTTCCCCATATTGCACGAATATCAATAAAAGGAGAAAAATAAAAAATCATAGAAAAATTCAATAAACATATTGTATTTAGATCATATTGTATTATACTGTGCTTCTCTTAGTTCACGGTACTTAACGCAGGGAAACAATAAATGAATGGTACAAAAAATGTCATTAGCTGTAACGTTTAGGTATTTTCAGATTGATGTCTTCATGCGCATGTGCAACCGGAACGCGAAAATGCGAAAATGTAACAATGCGAAAAAGCGAAAATGTAACAATGCGAATATGTAACAATACTAAAGAGAGAAAATGTAACAATGCGAAAAAGCGAAAATACGACAGATGGAATGCGAATATACGACAGATTTTATGTGTCGTATTTTCGCCCTCCTTCTGTCGTATTTTCGCTTTGTTGCCTCGAAAATGCGAAAAAGAAAACAACACGAAGGGACGACAAAGTTGGACTTACTCGTCTCTTCGTGTTTTCGCTTTTCCGCATTTTCGAGGCAACAAAGCGAAAATACGACATGGCGTAAATCAGCCACCATATTTACCTTTTAAAAACTGAAATGGATATATATTTTTAAATGGGTCCAAAAACACCAACGGTAAACTGAATATTTAATCTTTTAGTACAGTGAAAACAAATCGTTTTATTAATTCTTTTAATACTTTTCATAAAAATTGGTTTTATATTTTTTGTTAATTTCCAAAGGTTTGAATAATTAATATTGAACTCCCATGTTTTCAATTGTTGTAATCTAAGTCATTTTGAAGCAAGTTCAGTGTGATGATCCGTTCTCAAATTCTACCTAGACATATCAGAGACGAAGAATAAAACGCAACCCTGTGCTTCAGGCTGAACTTTATCATATATTAGCTCATTTTCGAAAATATATACAGAATATACGCTAAATATATCTGAAAATATTTTAGATAAAACGTGTTTTCATTAAGAAATGTATACTTAATGTGTAACACTTATAAAGAAAATAGGACTACTTATTGTTCGTAGGGAAACGTTCCACTGAAAGTCTCACCAAACGTTTAGTGGACAGATCATCCAGCGTTAATTGTAAGCAGACATTTTTCGACTCGAACAATGTATCAGTTACTTCATCTGAACTTCAAGACGGCCAAGCGTAAATATTCTTCATATTATTTTTCTTATTACTACATATGCTATTTTATTCATTATCTCTAAAAATATTTAATAATGAATTCATCACTATTCTATCTTCATATTTCCTTTTTTAAATATATATAAATTATAAAAAGCACACATTCTTTTCTTAAATGTGAAGATATTCATTAAATTAAAATGTACTAAACAGTCGAATTAACCAGTGTAGGTTCAATAGGCCACTGAAATGCTTCATTATTGTAAATTTACTCATTCATATTGATGTTTTAGCAGTTTATTTAACATGTACGTTTCATGTCTTGACTGTTTTCTGTTTTAGATTATGTCTGCAATTTCTCGTAGATGCAGGTGGATATTTGAAGAGCAAGGATAGGGTGGCCACATATCGAATTTCGTCCGCAGTACCTTATCGAAAAGTTCATAAAATGCGTGAGCTTTGCTATAGGTTTGACAATACTTCTCCTAAACATTGCCGAGAAAAGGGAAACTGCAGTTACGAACCAATTCAATTTGAAAGCCGTGTGATACGATCTACAGATATCGATGTTGAATTTAAGGGTTGGTATGATCCGGTTCCAACTGGTGGCAACTCGATCCATGCATCTTCTATTGAAAGTTATCAGATTACAGTAAACGAGGTTACTATGTCAACATACAATATACAGGTTAATTACATGACAAATGTATATACAAAGAAGGTTAATTTCAAAGAGAAGAAAATATCGCTTAATGTGACTTCTGAAAAGCCCATATTATACTGCGTGACTTTAGAAGTAAAAGACGTGGCTGATAATGTCAGACAAGCAAGACGATTCATCTTGTATGACAATTCGTCTTTTATTGAAACATGGGATGACCAACCTTTTTATTTTGCATCGGCTTCGATACAAACCAACTATAAATGGCAGACTCATCATCATGACATATGTCTTAGTTGGAAAGATCATTTTCTCAACCGATTTTACTTCGACAATCCTTTGCTTAACCCCATTGCGTCGGAACCTCATGGACTAGTTACTGGAATTTATGAACAAAACGATGGTGTGCTTCCAGTTTCTGGTACTCCAAACGTTCATGGCATTGTACAAACCTTGATATCCTGGACATTAAATGATGGGTCTCCTTCTGCAGAGATCGCAGTGCCAAATTTCCTAAACCAGTCTTTTTGCAATGACTTCAACGTGCAAGACGGTCAAACTTACACAATGTCTATCCATTCTATTGACATTGCTAACAACAGTTTTATTGAAAACAGAACAGTTCATATTGACCGATCCGTACCGCATATAAACAATATTTGGCTCGTCAAGGATGGTTACAAAGTCCTGTTTGTTCACCATATGACGGATTTATCAAAAATGCAGTTGCACTTTGAAGCCCTAGACCCACACAGCGGTGTACGACAAATAGAGTGGGTATTTGGTAATACTATCACAGAACTGACTTCAGGTTCTCTGATTGTAGGATCTTTTAACGAAGTAAGTATTTTATCGACACAAAGTAATTTAGAAAAAAAACTTTTTTTACTGACATCTCAAATGAAAACGATAATGGCAAATTAGTTATCAAAATATTGATACGCAAACTTAATCACACATCTACATAATATCTGGCAAACTTAATTGTTTTGATTTCGAGTAAAACAAAAGCCAAGGAGATCACCACAGACGAGATGAGTAAATTATATCATGATTAAATATAGAAATTTTAAGCCGTAAAAACGAATCTCATTTCTATTTATTAAACACGATTATGATGAGTGCGATTTTCGAAATGAGCATGTTTTTCATTTAGATAACGTTAGCCTAAAGAAGGCATTATGTTAGTGCCTTGTCTTTTATTGTTAAAGCTGGAATACAATCCAAGCCGATCATCATCTTTTTACTTTTACAGACATCCTGTCCACAGAATGCTGAAAATTGTTACTGTCCAGATGTCGGACAGTGTGAGTTTTATAACTACACTGTACCACTAAACAAGCTGATTGCCATCAATAAACACGTAGGCAGTCACAACAGAAATTACTATTTCACTTTAAAGATTACTAACAATGCACATTTGTTTAACATAGAACGCGTAAATATTTTGGTTGATGACTCCCCACCGGAAGTTGGCGTTATCTTCGAAGGTAATAATGTTTTCTAGATAATTCTTTTGAATAAGAAATATTGAAATTTTATTCATATACAATCCACATTGGAGGCATAACCTATTTACAGTTACAAACAATCACATCCTTTAGGTTAGGTATTTGAAAATACAAAACTAGAAATGTGTCGCTAGAATACGGATGCCTCTTGCAAGTTTTTGATAATATACTAGGAAATAAAACGTTATAAACCAAAGAGGATAGTGGACACACAATTTGACCTTTAACCTCATTGTCGAACGCTGACCTTGCAGACACTGGTCTTGTGTATGATTCGTTATACGTTATAAGTTATAAGACAAAGCACTTTACATTTGCCTTCCAAAATGATCTTTCTGTTCAAGAAGATGCAGGCTTGAATCTTGTATGTGGCACATAGTCTGCCAATCATTCAAGTAATGAAAAGTATTAGCCTGGCAGTATTTTAAAAAAATACATTTTTTTCAGGACCAGTGGATGCTAAGGACATAGATTATACAAGCGACGATAACTTTTTAGTCCATTGGCACGGTTTTATCGATCATGAAAGTGGAATAAAGGAATACAAAATAGGTCTTTCATCACGTTGCTTGAGCCGCAAAGAACTTTACGGTTTTAAAAATGTCCCTGATACAATATTTGTTACAAGTGTGCCATACACTGAGACGTCTGTCCGTATACCTGCAAACTTTACGGGTAAACGGTACGTATCCCTTATTGCCTTAAACAATGCAATGGACCCATCGGCAGCAGTATGTTCTGATGGGATAGCTCGAGATCTTTCGCCACCTTCTATACGAAATCTTACATTGGAGCATGCGACATGGTCAGAAACATTAGTGTGCCATGAAGGACAAACATGGCTATTCCATTTAACGTTATCAAAAATCAAACTTCATAATGAACCAAACTGTAATGACCTATGTAAAAACAATCAACAACAGAATTATCTCGCGTCAGCCCTTCCAACACGTAAAATTAAAGAAAACAACTCAGATGTATCGCATGTCATGTGTGGATCAAAGAGCTGGTACCAAAACAATTCAATAATATACCTACCAAACACCCACATAAAACTAGAATGGGACATTGAAGAGGACGAAAGCCAAATTGATGACATTTTTGTAGGAATTGGAACTGACCCTACTGAATTGAATTCACCGAGTATTGGTGCATACAAATCAACTTTAAAACGGAATTCGTTCAAATATATCCATGAAGGAATCGGATCGGATGAATTTTTCTATATCTTTTTGAAAGTTGTCAACAAAGCTAGTCAAGAAAGTGTTTTAACTTTAGGGCCTATTTTGATAGATGAAACGCCTCCAATTTGTAGAGAAATTCCAAATGTTATCTTTGAAGAAGAATACATTGTTGTTGGCTGGGAAAATTATACATTCTATGACATCGAGCAGGACGAGGAAATCAATTCTATTTAAACATATCTGAGTACATGTCTGACAGTTTAAAACTTATATGTGTAATAAGGTTTGACCTTTCTATTCAACACAGGGTATGCCAGCACCAAAGTCACATCGTTGTTAAAGTGGGATCGTGAAATGTCTGCGCCGTGTTCCGAATATAGTGGTGGTTGTTTCAAGTATCCTATCAAAATGCTACAAAAGCAAGATAATGATCTCGGTTTATCCTTCTATATAACTATGCACGTATACAACAAAGCTGGACATTTCATTACTGTATCAACAGATACATTTAAGATACCTTCAACCTACCCACCAGGTCACGGGATTGTTTTTGACAGCGACCCGGAAAATGAGGCCCATGTGTTTGATACTAATGCTCATTTTACGGCACATACTTTGTGTTTAAGATGGTACGGTTTTAAGCATCATGAGTCAATCAAAATTGAAGTCGGTATTGGGTCTAATAACGTGACAGATAATGTTGTTCCTTACAGAACTGTAAATCGCTCGATAAGTTATCACTGTATTAAATCTCCCAAAATTGAGTTTCATCAAACGTACTATGCACTTGTTAAAGCATCTTGTACTGGAGGGTTTACTGTGTCATCATCGAATGGAATTGTGATTTTGAATGAAAGTAAGCTATTGAACTCGCTTCATGTAAATCTCGGAGAGGAATGCTCATCTGTCAATCAAATTTATTCCAAACGTATCGATTTACCTATAGCTAATTATTCAGTGACATTTCCAGCTCATGTAGGCAAACGATATAAACTCTTTGTTTACAACAGTACAATTGATTCAGTTGTCACTAATGACGGTATTATTGAAAACGACACAGAAAGCAATAATACATTTAACTTTATATCATTTGTTGAATATCCTAATATTTGGTTACACTTTATTTCTGAGACCGGAACAACAAATAAAAAAGTTGAACTATCTATTCATAAATGTCCCTATGCAAAATATTTAACTGAAAGAAAAGGCGTCACTGCACATTGGTTTTATGACGACCATGTTTCTTATGGACTGACGTTTCAAATCGCTATACTAAGAATAAAAAACATAACTGACAATCTGACTGCTGTACCCTTCAAGCAATATGAATCAGCTTTAAATCGCCAAACTTTCAAGTTTCAAAATATTGGACTAGAACATTACAAGTTTTACAAACTAGCTGTTAAACAATGCACTAATGTAACGTGCCTCGATCCGGTATTTTCCGACAGTTTTAGCGTGAGTCGGCCACCAGAAACAGGCAAACTAATTTAAGCCCGTCTTTTAAAAGACACTTATACATCTTCTGCTAGTCTAAAAGTAGATTTGAAGTGGGATGCTTTTCATAGTGACAACTTGATACGGTTTTACCAGTGGGCAGTTTCTAATGACAATACAGGGAAAAGTATTCTGACAGAATGGCAAACAATAAAAGACACACATAGAGAACTCTATCAGGTCAGTTAGTCTCTTGGTTTAAAAACAAATGATTTTTACAATGTATATAATGCGGGAGAGTTAAAAAATGTCGTGTATAGCGGCTCTACTGTTTACATCTTTTCACTCGTGTACACGTTTATTTAAGAGACACACATCGGGACATGTCCTTAAAATTAAGTAAGTAAAACAATACAATATGTTTACAGATCTTAATTCTGTTAAACTTTCAAAAACTGAGGGCTACGCGGCCGGCGTCATTGTATTTGTAAGTACTCTCCCAATTAATCAGTGTGTCCGGATCATGTAACCATAAACAGTTTTGGTTGTAAAAAAGAATCGAAAAAGAAAGCGGTCACCTTTTCTCTCCATTCTCCGCATAAACATCCGATAGTCGGTCGAACGCCGCTCTTAATCATGAGTTTTGTGTAATCAAGATATATAGACTTTTAATGTTAATTAGATTAGTTTTGATTTAAGTGTCAATTAATAAACGTCATCGTCCGATCTATAAAAATGATTATGTAAAGTAAGGTGAAAATACAATATCATTTGAAAACTATAACCTTCAGTAAATCTGGTAGACATATACTAACATTTATTGGGGAAATGATACTTATAATTACTGCGTAACATTGTTACGTTAATGTATAATAATTATGTTAATTCGCATACATCCAGATAAATAAAAATGAAATATTGTTTAACTTTTATGATTGTTTGAAATTAATGAGTAAATAGAGAGAAATAAAGAATACCTGAAGAAAGTCCATGATGACACAATTGTTAATGTTGCAGGCTCGGTTTGATTGAGTCTGCTGATGGACGATAATAAAAAGTGCAAGTTACCGTCCACGCCCCTAGCACCTGCTACTGAAATAACCATTTCGGATAGACAGCTAACGAACAGTTAAAACAATCGATACTCTGGTAGCGCTTTGGAAATTGACGTGATTATCGAAGAGTCAAAGACCTCGTTTTCATGAAAAATTGTTTGTATAACTAATATGCTATTGAAAAACATATCCTTCAGTGTGTTATATTTTCAGGTACATACATCGATTGATCTACCTGTGCATCACCATTCAACGAAGTTCGGTTGTATTCGTGCCTTCGACAAAGCAGAGAATGAAGCATCCCTCTGTCAACAGATTGAATACATAACAAATGGAACTTATATGACGTCTACTGTTTATGATTTTGACTCAAACGCCATAGCCTGGAAGAAAATTAAAAACGTAAGCATAATTATGTTATTTCTACTCATATTGAAGTCACCTACCAGACACATCTTTAGTTGCGTCCAAAAGTAAATTTTTATTTACATTTGATGAGCTATAACTTAATTGTAATATATATGTACGTTGTCATAACCATTTAGTTTTCTTTTTTAAAAGATACTTCATAGTTCAAACATTGGAAGCCTATATACACTTCTTCACGACAATGAACTGGACTTTGGAACACCAGACACGGAAGTTGTTGGTGCAATTTTGTATGCTTCCGAGCGGAATATCACGTGGCTTTTGATGGAAGACCCATCGTCGTGTGACTTTAGTAAAGGATGTGTTGTTGAAAAAGTAACAAACACTGGCTTTGTATCATTTGAGAAGACAGTTGTAAAGTTTAATACATTTTACTACATATGTGCTTACTCTGTTACGACATCTGTAATTAGAGAGTTGAATACAGAAGTGTTAGACGAAATAAATACGTGTAGCAATGGCTTCGTTCTTGATAGTATTGCCCCAGTTGCTGGAAAAGTGAAAGTTCAAAACGAAAATGGGTTCCTTGCCAGTCTTGATGACATTGAATTCTCCTGGAATAAATTTGAAGATAACATAGATGCGACACAATTTGGATATCTTAGCAATATAGCAACATACACCTATGGAGTAGGTAAGAAGTTGTTGATTATATACTGATGTACAGTTGCGTTAAACAGAATTAATAACTTGATACTATAGACTTAAGGGGTCATTTATCCTCGTAAATTAACTAAAGTACTGATGTGACGTAAGATATGAACTAAAATCCTATTTCTAAGAGTGACAGTATAAGATCATGAAATAATTGCCAGATAAGATTTTGTGATTGTAAGTCGTTTATAACTAAACATACGAAAAAATCTTTTGCTCGATGATTTACCACTAAAATGTAATATACGTTTTAGGAAGTCGCCCTCTCAAAGACGATATTATACGGTTCACGAATGTGGGTTACAATACAAGATATGTTATCAACAATCTGGATTTGCATGATGGTGCATCTGTTTTTGTAACCATTAAAGGTTTGTAAAATATAACACAGTGATCAATAATGTACTAAAATGTATAGTGTATTAATCTAATAAGATTAAAATGCAATTAATTTTTTGTATGAAAATTAAAGGCACATCATGCCTTAGAAACGTTGATTTAAACTTTACTTCTGTAGAAAGTGCAAACATGAGTAGATAACCGTTTAAATAGTGGTTTTAGAGCATTTTAGAATTTTAGATGTTTGTTATCTCAAAGTAACTCTAATTATGAAGTCATTTGTCTTAAAAACAACAAAATCCAAACAAAATGGTATTTTGACTTCCAACCTCTAATAATGTACTGAATGCACAAACGCAACAATAGAAACAGTTGGCGAATGAGAAAAAATAAAAGCTATTGAGAAATAAAGATACATGTAAAAGCATTTTTGAGGCATAATAAAAAGATTATGAGTTTTATGTTGATAATTCTCAGCTTATACCTTTTTAAATATGATGACATGTCATATACCGGTATTTAAATATGTTTCGTGTTCATATTAATGTAGCTAGGGCTGGTTATCTGAACCGTTTTTACAAACGCATTGAAAATCAACTGAATATATTAATAAAAAAAAGTTTAGTTCTTTTACAAGTTCTAAGATACTGACATAAAAGGTGATGATACAAAACTACATTCGTTTTAATTTCCATTTTGAAAATAATTTAAATGAACATTTTAAATGTGAAAATGGAAGACGATTCAAGGGTAACGGAATCATATCTATCTTTGTTTGAGATTGGAACAACCTTTGGTCATTATCAATAACTATTGAATAAATACAATAATTTTTTATTGATGTTGAAAAAATTACATTTTTACAGCAACTGACCATGCCGGAAATACAGCGTCAGCTTCTTCCAATGAAGTTATTATCGACACATCCCCTCCTTTGAATGGCGAGCTGCAAATTTCAACAAGTGAACAGTTGCAAGACACTTACCTTTATCTAACGGATAAAATGATATCGGTTCATTTATCTGGTTTTAAAGATATAGAAAGCGGCCTCGATCATTTTGAAATTGGAATAGGAACTCAGCCTTTCTTTACGGATATCTTATCAACAACTGTTTTGCGCGAAGAAAATTGTGTCATAAAAATGCAAGACTACGGCATAACAGACGGCCACACTTACTATATAGCAGCAAAGGTAAGCAAATAATCTCTATTTTATGTTGATTGTTATGTCTATATGCTTAAAAGTATAAAATCAATAATGTATTACAATCTGTTCAAGTAACCACGTAACAGGGATAAAGAAAAGAAAACATGCGTTCAAATAAAACAGGTACTTAACAAAAGCAGTTTCGAAAAGGAAAGAACGAAACACCTGAATCCCAAAGCATCATAGTTATAAATAAATTTCAATTTAATTTCAAATTGACAAATTCAGATGAACAAAAACACGTAACAGAGAAAGAATACAATAAGTTTCTTTTCTTTAAATCATAAAAGCTTAAGTTTAAACATAATTATAAATTTTGGTGACATTAAGATATATACTTAAAGAGTTATACTAATATATTAATGAACCAGTTAAAATTCAGTTTATATTCTCCTTAGGCTATCAATCGAGCTGGATTATCATCTGAGTTTACATATTTGCGAACTATAGCCGACACAACACCTCCAAATGGTGGCCATGTTTTAGAAGGCCCAATCGGAAGTCAGGTAAATCATTTAATTTGAAAACACATGCATAATGTCTTAATTTCTACTCCACGTTCACGTCCTTTATTTTCCCACATTGATTAGAATTAATTTAATTCTTAAAATGCAGGGATTTTCATTTAATGACGCATTGAAATGTTATTTTCATTATCACAGAAAGAAGAAGATTATCAATATGATATAACGGAAATAAACGTGCATTGGAATGGTTTTAGCGATCCACATAGTGGAATAGCCTTTTATAGAGTAGCTCTTGGGACAAAGCCATTTTCGGAAAACATTAAGCCGTTTGTGAATGTCGGACTTCTGGAATGTAAGATATTATAAAATCATGTTCAAACTGTAATAAAACTGACATACTTGAGAGATGAACACATGACACATTATAAACATATTATAAACATTGTATTATTATTATTAAAGTGAAAGTTATAAACTCCAAACATAAACGTATGTATCAATCACCACATTGTCGGTATAATAGTTCAATAATATTTTTATTTCAATTGATAAAGATACTACGTGGCATGGAGAATTTTCTATTGGTGAAAAATATTTTACCACAGTAGAGGCATGTAACGACGCAGGTCTCTGTATTGCCCGAGCATCTGATGGTATTACTCTTGACATTTCACCACCAACACCAGGTTCTGTACAGATTGGTTCAGACGTGCTTCACCAGAAATATCAGTCACATACGTAAGTAATAATAAGAATCATTGATAAAATACGTGCATCAGTTACTATTGATATCATGTACATTTTAGTTTTGTTTTACATCTAGTAAAGTTTTTATGAATGTTAAATATGCATAAATTATATATTTTTGCAGGTCATCAGTACACGTTACATGGGCGGGATTTGAAGACCCAGAATCTAGCATTGGTCACTATGAAATGTGCATTGGAACGAGTCCAGAAAATTGTGATATTTCAGAACGCACCAATTTTTTATTGCGGTCTAATATTTTCAAAACAGGGCTTAGTCTTCCAATTCACACTCCTCTATTCGCAACTGTAACTGCCTTTAATAAGCTTTCGTTAAATGTAACAAAATCATCCGATAGCTTCTTTGTCGATGAAACACACCCTCTTGTTTTGAAAAGACCTTTTTTTATTGTCAAGAAAAATAATAAACCCTGGAAAATAGGTGAATGGGATAGATCTGTTTTGCATATACAGTGGGAATTTATTGATGAAGAAAGCCCGATTGTTCGTCATTTTGTTTCTCTTGCCACGCACCATGAGGGTCACACTCCCGTAGAAAATATACAACGTGGAGCCGAAAACAACATTAAAATAAGTTTGGATGGTAGATCATGGCTTCATAATGGTGATACGTATTTTGTGACCGTAACAGGCTGTAACCTGGCTGGTCTTTGTATTTCCGAAAGTACCAATGACCTGATTGTAGATTCGACACCCCCGCATCTAGGTGGTTTCAAACTACCAATGTATTGGGAAAATTTTAATGGCTCCGTGACTGCAACGAAGTCAAATATAACACTTTCATGGTACGGTTTTCATGATCAGGAATCTGGAATTGAAAGATATTTTATCACAATAAGTAAAACATACAGCGGAAACGAGATAACAAATGGTGTGACAACCGTCAATGTTAATGTGTCAGATAGAAAAACTGAGCATTCATATACATTTCTTGCAACTGACCATTTAGAAAGAGATGATAAGTTGTATTTAACAATATGGGCAGAAAACTCTGTAGGGCTTAAAAGTTCATTGGCACGGGCTTCAGTATTTGTATTATTAAGTTCTTCGACAGCTGATGTTTCAAACCAAAGGGGTACCCTCGAACTTGAAAAACACTCATGTGATATACATTACTGTAATAAGGATTGCACGTGTGCAATTATTGGCAAACCATGTGAAGAGGTACAATTAAACTCGACTTGCGAAGAAATAGGTAATCCGTTGTGGAGGATGTTCCTGAAATTCAAGTGTTTAACGGACTAGATGAGAAATCCCCTAATATCACAACTTCATCTGCTTGTCTCTCCGGAAGTTGGAAAGTAATTGATGGCAAAAGAAACACCTCCAGCATATTACGATTTGAATGGAGTATAGGTTTACAGAACCAGCCTTTTGGGGAAGGGATATTTGATTTGAAGAACGAAATTCCATGGAATGACGTAGGATTGCAGTCACAAGTTGTGCACTGCCTACCTGTAAATAGATCTCTGATAGCACGCGAAAAATATGTAATTTATGTAAGAGCTTGGCTTTCCAGTGACAATTATGCCACGTTTCATTCGGCTCCAATACTTATTGATCATTCACCTCCATCTTTGGTACGAGGCCGTACAGTTCTTGATTCTAATGAGTTATGCAATGTGGATTTTGATATAATAGATTGGATGGATACAATAACAGTATGTTGGCATGGCGTCTTCTCAGAACAGCAGGGAACTGTTGTAAATTATTACCTAGCAATGGGGACGTATCCCTCTGGTATGATCTTCTTTACTTTTGTTTATTGATCAAAACTTTTTTTAAAAATAACACATAAATAATAGTTTATTTCGCGAAATGTTTAGATTAGATAATATTGTTTTAAATAAGTGGTATTTAATTTTATAATGAAAAGAATTTGTTTTGAATTTTTGGCATACTTTACATTGCCATATTGTTGTATGACTTTAGGTGACGATACGATTCAACGACAAGATGTGGGCTTAAACTCAAGTTTCACATTCAGCAATCTGTCATTGACACATGGAACGAAGTATTTCTTCACAATCACAGCATATAATAACGTAGATTTGCATTCACTTGCTGTATCTGATGGTTTCATTGTCGATATGGACGAGCCGATCAGTGGTGTTGTTTACAACACTCCTAGGCATAGAAACGCACCATACCAGTCCTCAACTACAACCATTGGCTTATCTTGGCATGGATTTCAAGACAAGGTTTCTGGAGTACGAACATATTATGCAGCAATTAGCGATAGGCCAACTAATACAACATATATAAACTTTACAAGCACGGGACTTAGTACGAGACACGTTTTCAGAAATTTAGAGCTAAAACATGGGCACACGTATTATGGTTTCGTAAAATCTTTAGATAATGTCGGACATCAAAGTATAGTTGCTGTATCAAATGGAATAAAGATTGATAATACTCCTCCAACAGCATACATATGTCAGACATATGCTGATATCAAACATGTATCAGAAGTGTTAGACGCCATTGATAATAAAGTGAACTTTACTTTCAATGCTTCCTTGAGCACATTATATAAAGCAGTTGGCTTTCTATCGTTAGATAAAAGCGACGAAGCAAAACTTGTGTTTCATTTAGATCAGTTTCACACGTTTCTTCCACTTATGAAATATCATAATCAAACACTACTCTTCGAGCATACATTCTTGTCTGATAAAACTGCTTCACAAACCATTTTGGTCGAATACCTTAATTCAAATAAAGAATATCTTGCTTTGAACATGACATTATATGAATGCATCAAGGCTTTTGAAAGCATTAAGGAAGCAATTAAACTCACACAGATTTCTAGGTCACTGGCTGCAGTAGAGTTGCTTGTAACAGATAACGAAAGCCCTATAAGTGAGGTATGTGCAATTTTTTGTTTTAATATAACTTGATTCAAATACGAGCGTTCACATAATTATGAATATCCATAAAAAATCCCTATCATGAAATATATAATATTTTTTTGATTTATTTTGATGCTTTAATCATTTTTGAATGAATTTGTATTGAATGTACTGCATTTATGATCTTGCATGTATATAGTTATATCAGTAGGGCAATTTGTTGAGTGCACATTTAACTATTTATCATTGGATTATTTGACATAGATTCAAATAGGAGCAGGAACCACACCCGGAGGATTTCAGGTTAAATCTCTTTCGCGAGTGCATCATCATAATCCTAAGCATCTAATACAAACCAACGTTCAACACAGAACCAATGTTTATGTCACAGCCATTGTTGAGAATAAGGCAGGACTAAGGACAGTATTCAAGTCAAAGCCTCTTACCATTGACCACACAAAACCTGTTGTTAAACATCTGTCTGGGAACCTGCGATATGTAGAAGAAAATGTATCGGGTATTGTTGAAACTAAAACAATTGTACATGCGTCATGGGATGTAGTTGATGACGAAAGTGGAATTAGCATCTGCTATTGCTCAATAGGTAGTAATAAAACATACATGTACTATACTTTTTTTAATGTTTCTTTTTAAAAACTATTTTGTAAAGTCAATGTTCTTTTTTGTACTAAATGATAGTATGTTTTCCTTAAAGAATGTTCTGACTTTTAGCATTTTTCAATACAGACAATTGTCCAATGTGTTTTTATGTAGATCTACATTTTTACTCTCTACAGAATCGAGTCGCAATTTTTCTGATAAATTTATATTTCAGGTCATAGGCCAGGTTTACACAATATTTATTCAAACTGGATTGCACAAACAGAAACATCATGTGAATCAGATGGACATATTTTTTCACATGGTCAAAAAGTATTCCTAAATTTGAAGTGTTTTAATAACGCTTGGCTATCGACTGAAGATGTGTTTGGGCCACTGGTTGTTTCACTACAGCCATCCGACACATTAAATGCAAAATTAGCGTTTATACCACTAAGTGAGAAAGATAATAGACATTTTACTGGTCCAGTGTTAAATTTGCCGGTGCAATCAAATCACTCGTGCCTTCAGTTTAAATGGAATGGATTTACAGACCTGTCTGGTATTGTGCATTATGAATACCGAGTATACCAAGATGAACATGCTGTCCTTAAGGAATGGGAGAAAACTGTTAAAGACATGGTTAAAATAGAAAATATTGATTTGATAAATGGGGAAGTTATTGCAGAAGTCAGAGCTATTAACAAGGGGTCATATATCAGCGACTCTGTAAATGCTTCACTTTTTGTTGCCAAGTTTCCTCCAAAATTATCAGGTAACTGAAAGAATCATTACGCTTCTATTAGTTTGAAAGGCTATCATTTTGAAAATCAAATCTTTGCGAAGAAATTATTTACTATAATTGAAAAAATACACTGATCGTTACATTTATAACATTATCATTTTATTGTAAGTGTTATTGCAATTAGAACGTCCATAAATTCTTTAGTTTATTATTTCAAAATCTAATATTTAAATGTTTATCAAATGATAAATTAAAGGGTAATATTTATTGGGTATTTGTCTGTATTTTTCAGGAATTTCAGCTAAATTATCGAGAAATGGAGCTGAGAAACTACATTTAAGTTGGGCTGACGTATTTAATATTGAACCTAGTATTCAGTTTTCATTTGGTCTTACAATAGGTACGAGAAAAGGATATACAGATGTCCTCGACATACATTATATCAGTGATGATAACATTGATGTGCCAATACCTAGATCTACGATCATTACACCTATAGTAAAGGAAGTCTTCATATCGATCGACTGTATCTATGAGACTGGACTACGAGCTACATATGCTACTATTTACAAGCTTGCTTGACATTTAAAGGCACATTATGCTTTAGAACCGATTTCGTTTTCTTATTTTGGAATAGCAACGCATTTTTGAATAATGTTTTAGAGCAAATAAGACGCTTATCACGTCAAGCGAGTAGCACTGAATGTGTAAATATTTGTCATAAAAGTAGTGAAATGAAAAGAAGATAGTATTTTGACTTCCATATGATATACTACATCTCTATAGTGTACTAATTGCCAGAAGGAAACACCGGAAGTAAGCCATGATTCAGGTAATTGTCCAATAAGTAAAAATAGAAAAGAGTAACAGAACACAAACTTCTAGAAATAAAAATAAAAAATACAAAGGACATCGACATACAGAACAATTCACGTTCTTTACAGTATTCCCCCCTTTTGTAAAATAGTTCTATAGTCGTGTTTTGTGATACTTTGATAAAGGCTTTAGTTATTATTATTATTATTATTATTACTAATTTCATTTTCTATATAAGTGTAATTATTTCATATTAGAAATTAGTGTACTAATACATGTTCTTACTGTACAGTATGCTTTACTTTTACTATTCACAGGAAAACATTTACATAAAACTTTGACTTCCTTTTCATTCCTGTATTATATCATATTGTTGTACATATTGGAACTATATGAAATAAATTCTGTATAAACCAAAAGATTGACAATTATAATTGCTATTGTACAATTATTTATTACTACATTATTATAGGATAAAAACTTCCTTAAATTGTAAATTAAACATAATCGATAATTTTCGAAGATACTTATAATGAGGGTCACGAAGATTATTGACTACTCGGGTGACGTATGTAATGAAACTGAAACCAGTCATGACAACATGTTAAGTAATTTCTATTTTACCTTAACTCTAAATTTAGACGTCCTATTTTGTAAATGTTTAGCTTGTATAAACATGTATATTGCATTCATGATAAAAAATAAACATTTTTAGAAATGTTTGAGTTATTAATTTTTATTTCTTCAATTATTTGTTTCCATACCAACCTAAGTACCAATACCAAGTATTTCGGATACACTTGGTGCTTGTATTACAGATGAACAAATATAAATTTTAAACACATAACAATAAATAGTTTCTTACGAAATTCTTTAGCTTGTGTCAAGTGGTAGGTATATATTTTAATGCATATCACATGGAAATGCATTTTTTGGCGTGCGATTTCTCCCTTGACCATTGTTGTACCATTTTTCCTAGAGCATTTTGAAGGGGGCAATCCACAGTAATCAAGGCTTCGCGGCAAACAAATGATGACTGTGTCACAATCAAGACCTAACACAACATTCTGTAATCACAAAATGAAATAAATGCATTTCAAAATTAACATATACATATTGACCTCACAGCAAACAATTAATAATACTTTCAATATTTAGAAGCTCAAATATACACTTCAATTTCAAAACTCTCCTTTATTTTGCCAATTCTACCACACAAAACTACTCCATTATAACCGTGTACTGCCTCCAAAAAGACATCAAAATTTTAAACATGAGAAGATACGCACTTAAAAATAGTTTAAAAATGAGTACTTTTACAGTATACATCCATGTTTACCTGTCGGGTTTGCTTAAGGTCAGACCTTCTTATTGTAACATGACTAGCAATTGGCTAAAAAGGACAGGGAAAACCGTATGATTGAATGGTACATGAGGTAATTGGATGAAAATGGATGTATTAAAGTATGAAAACTAATTTAGAAACTAACACTATATTGCTTTTCTAAAGACAATGACATAATTCATAAGTCTCTATGATAATTTGTGACTTGGATATTGCATTTATAAAAAGTGTCAATCCTGTAATCAGCAGAAATTTTTCAATGAAAAGGGGGATAATCCTCATTAAATTTATTATTATAACACAAGATCGTTTTTGTGTATCAGGCATTTCATTCTGCTAAAAGATCACACTTTAGCAAGACAACACAATAATAATTTAGGATTAGGGACCATTTATCATATTGTAAGTCTATGGGAAAACAAATGCGTTAGTCTGACCTTTACCATGGTGATAACCTACTGGCTTGCACGTATTGTTATTATTGACTTTAGATTATTTGTAGAAAAAACTTCGTCTTAGTCTTTTCATGACAAAACAATTTTAATAATCGTTTTACTTAATAATAGTATTTATAGTCTGAACTGATATTTATTGTTAGATATTATGACATCTATCGATTCAACGACCTTCATCATGTCGATTGACATTAACTTTATCATTCCTGATCTTGTATTTTTAGAAACGAATGTTACAGTCTCGTCATAACTAGCTTTCGGGACGCTGTGTTGAAGAATGCTTAAAAGTGATATGATGCACTTTTTAAAGATAACATTACTGAAATACTTAGTTTTAAACAAAATAGAATTGTTTTTTCAACAAAAAAGCTGAAGGCCGCTTTAATTTGATGTTTGTACATTTTAGATAAAACAGCAGATATGCAACACACAATCTTCTAACATTGTTTCATATATTAATTGATTTACTTCAAAAGAACATCAAGTCAATGTTATTTGTTAATACTTGTTAATATTGTAATAATAAGATGAAACTTTCAGTACATAACTAAAGCAATATAACTAGTATTATACGCCTCAGATATATACAATATAAAATACCGTGTGTAGGTATACTCTACCGTAACAGTATAAAGTAGACGCACTTACTAAAAATATTGATGTTCGTGTAATGTTCTAATGACATCATAACGGAATGATAAATAGACGACTTACATAATATATACCCTTAAATATAAGAAATAGTGGCTTGTTATCATATTAAAATAAATGAAAGGCCGGGAATATAAGACTCCTTTGAAAATAAAAGAGAAAAAAATTAATAAAATTAATTGAATTAATTTATTTATTTAATTAAAACTGTGTATATTTCTTAATGTAACTTTAAGCATAACATTGTAAATACAGAAATCGTGCAAAAGTAACGTCGAATCTGTAAAAATGTGCCGCCGAAACGAGTTCAAAATTAAAGCAAAATTAACCTATATGGTTAATAGTTTATATAGGTTTTAGCAAACACATGAAAAGAATAGGCGGATTCGTCAGTTTTTATAGAATTTCATATCCAACATTCTTGCATAAAAACAGCACACAATAACGGAGAAGAAATAATTCATTTACGAATAAAATTACACAAGCACGCGCCGTACTACAAACAATAATGGCAGTTTCTAGTGTTAAATTGCATCGCAGCGGCACGTGAAAAAAACTAATTTCGTTATACGAAAATAGGAAAACAAATAAATTTGTATTCATAATAGTATTTAGTATCTGATGATTAAAAGCAAAACAAAATTTTTAATTTCTTTGATTAATTTATTTAGGTAAATTAACCATAAGAAATGAATACATTTTCCTTCTTAAGAAAAACACATTTTGTTTTATGTTGCTTAAAGTATGTTATATGCTTCTCGCTTTAGAAAAGTTGCACTTAACATGTATGTAAAATAACTTGCCATCAAAAAGCAAAACTTAAGCAAAGTGGTATTTTTGACTTCCGTACAAAATACTCAGTAAATATTAATATGCAAATTGAAATAAAAAAAAAAACGTAAAATCGAAGCTAAACAAATAAAATATCAAAGTATCTACACACATCATAATTATACACAATATTATACTGTGTGTGTATTTTGGTTTATTTATACTTGCAACCGGTTGCCCATATGGGCGAGTCCTCCAGAAGAGTATTAGTCATTTTATATTTTTGGAGACAGATACAGAATAATGCCCCAATTCCAGAAGCTTCTCCTGGTTCTTTAAAGTGCCAAGTGTTAAAGCACTCATAAACGGGACCTCGATTTAAAGTCTCATCCGAAAGACTGATTAGTAATGTTTAGTTGGCCAGTCCGGGAATCGAACCCACAATGACGAGATTACAAGTCTCGCGCTCTAACCGATTGAGCTATGCGGGCAGGCTCTATATTATAAACTATTAAAATCGACAATTATAGTGGAGGATTAAACAATAGTAGGATATCACGTCATCACCTGCAAAATGCTTCAAATTGGATTGTTTGTTTGTTATTATTTCATTTTTTTATGTTTGCTTTTTATAAACATCCCGTCGAATCGAAGACATATGTTGTTATTCTATGAAATCGTTTGAATATCAAAAATAATGTAGTGCACCATGGCCAAAGATTGTCTTTAGTACTTAATATATTTTTAAGAGACGTTTAAAGTTGTCTTGCCTGGGGAGCATTTTGATGCGCGATCACGTAGTATCCTACCATTGATATTAACGCTAGAAACAAGACAGATTATGCTGCTCGCATAACACAATCGGTTAGGGTGCGAGACTTGCAATCTCGAAATTGTGGGTTCTATTCCCGAGCTGACTAACTAAATTACTGATGAGACTTTAAATAGAGGTCCCGTGTATGAGGGCTTAAATACTTGGCACTCTAAAAAACCAGAGGAAGCTTCTGGAATTAGAGCATTATCTTGCACTATCCTCCAAAATATAAAATTGATAATAATCGTCTTAAGGAATCGCCCACAATATAGACAATCGTGGGCGGGTATAAATAAATTCAAATACGAGGGGATATCCAAAAACTCGTGGATTTTCTTTGTTGCGTAAAATATATTTGAGATGTTGATTTAGAATTCTTACACTGCTAAGAAGAATAAAATAACAAATAAACACAGAAAAATTCATGTTAGTAGCTTCTTATATGACAACAATATTTAATTTTACATTAACACATGTCGGCACTCCAAATAGTTATGGACGTTAACGTCATAAAAACGTACTGTACAACTTGTGCATCAACGTAACGCTAATACTTCTCCTCAAAGTTATGCCCATTACTAAATTGCTTATGTTACTTTAACACTTTAAATAAGTCTAATGATCGTGAAATTTTATTTTCTCTGTTCGCCTGCTGATTTTTTTTTCAAATGTTTTAGTAGGTGTCGTTCCCATATTACACAAAAAATATGATCCCGCGATTTTCTAATTTCTGCGTGTCCGTCATTTTCACGTTGTAATCAATATCGGCGTCTGGCGATTCTATCGATATAAACAAATATTAACGGAAAGGACGTCCATAATTTTAAGGAATTACTTAAATGACGCCATAAATGAATTGGCGGGTTTTCTACGTTGATTTTTAGTTTTTTAGCAAAAATATTACGATGACTAACGGCGCTTTTCTACCGTGCGCCAGGTGCCGTGTATGTGCTCATTTAAAAACAATATAAAATCATTATTTATTGACGCAGTTAACTGTTCCTTTCAAAATGTGTTAATAATATTCTACAAGGTATGCTGATAAAATTTCATTACAATTCACGTTGACGTTCAAGAGATATTTAAAAAGTCCACGAATTTTTGGATAACCCCTCGCACACAAACATAGATTGTACCGTGTCAAGTCATGTACAAGTTCGGACAACCAACTTGATTATAAATTTTGTATCGATTTGTTTTTTCTGACTGGATGGATACATATAGAGTATAGCATATATATACTTTTAGTTTATACGATATTATGCGTGTGCTTCAAAATGACCGTATGCTACAATGTTATCTCTTTACAGTTGCGAAATAAAAAGGTTAACGCTCTTATAACATTTGTTTATAATGTAAGTTTAGTTAAACAAAGATGTCTAAATCGCAGACTGTTTCCATCAAGCACCTAAGAGAGGATCAAATTTAAAAGGTAAGTATTTCTTTCTTTACCTTAAATGTATTGTTTGAACTTATACATTATAGTTCACGTTTACGTATAAGTCACAACTTTTAATGTACCTCTCGTATTTTTCCAGATATGATGCCAGAAATTGTTACACGATGTTACCGCAAATCAAAATATTTCCACATTGCAAGTATGACTTGAAAAATCACAATCATGGAAAACATATGTACCATTGGAGTCGACCAATATTTAAAATAGCAGTCATTCAAACTTCACAG